GTAGAGGTAGAGGTAGAGGTAGAGGTAGAGGTAGAGATAGAGATGTGGAGTACAGAAAAAGATGCAGTAGAAAAGATTTAATAACAGAACCCATGGAGGGGAAGGTGCAAAGTCCAGAGATTCAGAGGAATCTCTTAATTGTGGATATGTGTTATGTTATTTTTATAATTTTATACTTGTAAAATCAAATAAAAATTATGTTCAGACAGAATACAAAAAATAAAATAAAAATAAAACTATTTTTAAAAATGTGCAATGGGGCCCTCCCTGCTCTTTTTGTTGCGTGGGGCACTGGGTTTTGTCCCCAATGACACCACCACTCTGTGGTGGGAGCACTTAGTTCTACGTTTTGTCCTTCAAAGTAGCTTTCTCTAGCCAGAAGTAGTTTGGCAGGTGGGACCGAGCTGCTAGTAAGTCGCTGCTGGTTACAGAGAGGGAGGAGCGAGGAGACAGGGAGGTTGATGCAGGACAAACACACCATGAAACATCTGGTCTTAATTACTTCACCATTAAACCACTATCACAGGGTCTTAGGCATGGTTCTTCCATGACATTTTCTGAATTGTGTGTAAGTGGTAACCCCAGACACTTTATGCTGGTGCCATATAACTAGGCAGCCATGATGGTTGCAATCGAGACGTGAAAAATATGCTGCATGATTCTTAAGAAATGAACTCTCAACCGCACTGGGCTGCTTCCCTCTGCTCAGTTTTCTGTGTATTTCCCCTCCTTTTCTCATTACCTCTTAACATTGTTTGCTTTTTAAATTGCATGCCTTAATATATAGTATTTGTATCTTGATTATTAATTTTATGAGGTGACTGTGGCAGGGGAGTTTGTATTATTGTTTGCATGCTGAAAAATTAATAACAATTTTTAAATAATTAAAAACTAACTTTTCAACAGCCTGTTCATTTCATACGGGCTATTTGCTTACTTCCCCCTGCACAACATCACCCACCACCCAAAGAAACAACAACCCATTGGCTATGTTTCCAGAATAAAGAGCTCCAATTGGCTTGAAAGTTATAACAATGGGCCTCAGGATTAATGTTCATGTAATTTCAATTATTTTACTTTCTCCATGATCACTGCAGATGGTGACAGCAGCCACGAAATTAAAAGACACCTGCTTCTTGGGAGAAAAGCAATGACAAACTTAGACAGCATCTTAAAAAGTAGAGACATCACCTTGCCAACAAAGGTCCGTATAGTAAAAGCTATGGTTTTCCCAGTAGTGATGTATGGAAGTGAAAGCTGGACCATAAAGAAGGCTGATCGCCGAAGAATGGATGCTTTTGAATTATGGTGCTGGAGGAGACTCTTGAGAGTCCCATGGACTGCAAGAAGATCAAACCTATCCATTCTGAAGGAAATCAGCCCTGAGTGCTCACTGGAAGGACAGATCCTGAAGCTGAGACTCCAATACTTTGGCCACCTCATGAGAAGAGAAGACTCCCTGGAAAAGACCCTGATGTTGGGAAAGATGGAGGACACAAGAAGATGACAGAGGACGAGATGGTTGGACAGTGTTCTCGAAGCTACTAGCATGAGTTTGACCAAACTGCTGGAGGCAGTGGAAGACAGGAGTGCCTGGTGTGCTCTGGTCCATGGGGTCACGAAGAGTCAGACACGACTAAACGACTAAACAACAATAACAATTTCAATGATTAGCCCGGGATGGTGACACAGATGGAAAAATGAAGTGTGTAACCGTGTCCTATGGTTGCAGGTTCTGGTTAAGAAGAAGAGACCTTAACCACAATCCCAGATTCAGATGACATACTAAACCAAAATCTGGTTCTCATTTTGCCATTATCTCATCAAGCCATTATCACTTGCAGTAATAAAGACTGCTTTCAATCCAGCTTTTCGGATTGCAATTGGCCCCTAGAAGAATCTAGAAAGTAGAGTCTTTCTCAGCCACTTTCCTCACAAAGTGGCCTTTCAGCTGTATTAGCATACCCTCCAATATTTCTCTGCTGAAAATAGGGATGCCCTATTCCATACCCTCCAACATTTCTCAAATGGAAATAGGGATGTCCTAAGGAAAAGCAGGACATTCCAGGTTCGAATCAAAAACTGGGATGGCTTCTGTAAATCTGGGGCTGTCCCTGAAAAATAGGGAAACTTGGAGGGTCTGTCCTAGTCAATGACCGTAGAATTCAGGGCTGAAAGGATATCTGCTCTGTTCACTTTCTAGCTTCAGTTTGGTTAGCTTCGCTGTGTGATTTTTGTGCATTGGTGCACTGCAGAGGTGTCTGAGTGGTGAGGCTCTGCAAGAGAAACTTGGCATTAAGAATACCAATCCCTCACATCAGTTGTGCCTGCTATAGTTTGTTAAGCAAATATTTCCATAAAGCTTTCACTCTGGGTACATGCTGTATCGTTTCCAACAGCAAATGTATGTTTAACTGGTAAAGAGCACTGAATAGTAGCTTCTCAAGGTTCTCAGTATATTAATTGGATCAATTGGAAAGGAGAACACAGGGACTTTATTTAAAGGCCGGATCCAGCTCAGGTTGTGCTTTATTGCATGCAGCCAGTAGTCCCAGAAAGCAGGGGTTGCCTCAACCTCTGTATCTGTGACCTGATTCACAGGTGCATCACACTCCACAGACGAACTCTCACATCCCTTTGATGCAAGTTTAACTAACTGAACATGATACTTTCCAACAGAAGTATCTCGCCTATTTGGCCATGAGCTTCCGAGTGACATCAAGTGATGAGATCCCAGGTGATGCGTGAGTGTGTGTAAATCCGTTCAGACACATCCATCCGATTCAAAGGGAGATGTCTGCATGTCTGTATCAACTATGCAATTAGATCAGAGGTGGAGAACCTTTGGGTCTTCCAAAGTTGCTGGACTACAACTCCCATCATACACAACCACAGGCCACACTGGCGAGTTGGAGTCCAACAATATCTGGAGGGCCACAGCACAAAGTTAGATCACATGATTAAGGGGTCGCAGTGTTTTCCCAGAAGTGTCCTTCTCCAGCGTTGCTTTCAAGCCTTGCGCATCCTCTTCTGCATCCTCTTAAACATCCAATCAGGTCAACCCAATCATTTCCCACTAATGTCCGGCCAGCAGCTTGCAGAAATGTCATTTAAAAGACATAAGACATCTGTGGTTTGTTGAGCCTGTCAGCAGGTCACCGCTGTGACTGAAGTTTATTAGCCAGGCTGACAAGGTTTTTCCTTCCTGTCCAAGCCAACAGCCCATTTTCTAATTCAAATGATTTTCTTCTTTATTATCAACAAACCATTCTTTGTGCTTTTATTTGTTGGTTTGGTGGAGGGCACTGCTGATCTTACACTGAACAACTCACGAGCACTTAATTGCATCCAATTTATGGGCTTGGGACCACTGGAGAACTGCTGTACATGTATGTGATGAGAGAGAGAGAGAGAGAGAGAGAGAGAGAGAGAGAGGGCGCAGTGGGGAAGGCTGGCATGGAAGAGGTTGGGTGTCCCTAATCTCTTTTGACTGGCCCCACTCACTGCTAGCTTTGGTCCAGCATACACTGTCCCTTCCATTATCCACAAAGGGAATGTGGCATAAGAAATATTGGCCACCCTATTCAGGAAGAAACAATGGCTGCTTTTATGGACCCCCAGCACATAACTAGTTGACTGTAAGGGCCCCCAGCCAACAGCATGAGCAGATGCCCTCACATTACTTACGTGACAGAACCCCTGAATGCTCAATTGGGTATCATTTCTGGGTAAATAAAAGGTTATAGAAAGGAGGAAGGAAAGGTTATTTGGAAGGAATGTGGTGACAGGGACCCATGGGACAGGTGTTTTCCTGGTGACAAGATCACGGGGTCTCCTTCAAGCTGCACAAGAAATTGGAGAGGAATGACACAAGCAGATGCTGGCTCTTGGCATAGGCAACATTACACAATGTCAGGTGGAAAAAAACAGGGGGGGGGAGAGCTACTCTTTATAGCTTTTAGTGTTTGATTAGCCCACAGCTTCATCTGTTATACGGGAGAGAATAAATGTGTACAGAATATATAAATTCTGCATAAATGAAGGACTTCCAAACTGAAGTCACCTTTGAAGTTTTCCTGACTGGAAGCGAAGGGGGAAATTACAAAACTGTAATAGCAGCCATGGGGGTCAGGAAGAGAGTTTCCCCCAAGCTGAAATGCAGATTACAGTTGAATACCATGATCTTGTCATTTGCCATACAAACCTCAAGGGACCCACACCTGCTCTTACTTGCTTGTAATCCCCCATACACTTTCCTATGACAACGAGGGATGTGGGTGGCACTGTGGTCTAAACCCCTGAGCCTCTTGGGCTTGCCGATCATAAGGTCCGTGGTTCAAATCCCCACAAAGGGTGAGCTCCTGTTGCTCTGTCCCAGCTCCTGCCAACCTAGCAGTTCAAAAGCACACCAGTGCAAGTAGATAAATAGGTACTGCTGTGGCAGGAAGGCAAACAGCGTTTCCATGCGCTCTGGTTTCCGTCACAGTGTCCTGTTGCACCAGAATGGTTTAGTCATGCTGGCCACATGACCCAAAAAGCTGCCTGTGAACAAATGCCGGCTCCCTCGGCCTGAAAGTGAGATGAGAGCCGCAACCCCATAGTCACCTTTGACTGGACCTAACTGTCTAGGGGGTCCTTTTCTCCTATGACAAAACTTCCACTGAATAGAGTTCCTCCTCCACCTAACTGGTTTTCCAACCAGTTTTGACTATCATAATAAATTATATTGTTCGTATCTGATATTCTTTTGACTGTGATACAAAGGGTTATAATCCATATCATTCTGGCTGTTTCACTGAAATAAGTACATTTTTTCTGTCACATTTTATCTGAAGATGTCATGGTGTATTTATTGGTTATTTTTATTTCTAAGCTCTGAGACACTTTATTGTTTTTGCGAAGTCTGTCAAACTGTCATCTTTACTAGGGGTAGGGATTTGAGGAGAAAGTGTCAATTATATTAAATAGCATATATAGAGTGTGTGTGTTTATACTAAATAGCACACACACACACACACACACACATCTATCTATCTATCTATCTATCTATCATCTATCTATCATCATCATCTAGCTATAGTGTGTGTGTGTGTGTGTGTGTGTGTGTGTGTGTGTGTGTGTGTACATGCACACATGGTGTGTGAATAGATAGAAGTGTTTTTTGGCTTTGGAAATATGCATGGTAACACATACAGTCATGATCAATGCAAAAACCATTACAACCTTCACCAAGCGTGACCCTCATTAGGAAGTAGGTTTCTGTGTATGCGATTTATGTAGATTCTTTATACGTATGCATGCATTTTATTGCATTTAACAAATAAAAGCAATTTAAAACCAGAAAAAATTAAAAGAATGAGAACTACAAGCTACATAAAATGCTCATCTAGTAAAGATTAATAAGGAAATATCCTACCCATCCCAATAAAATACAAGCACCACTTCTCTGCTTCTAACCTCTGTCTCTGTGTGCCATAATTAAAATAATGAGCTTTAACAAACTTTAAAGAATGGAGGGAGCAGTTAGACTCTTTGAGCGCAAGTAGCAATGAAGGAGAAATTTGACTCTGTTGCTATTTTAATGGTGAACCCATCAAATTCGCACTTCCTGAAATAATATGCAAACCAAAACACGGCTATTCTTCACACATACCGATTTAATAAAGAAATAAAATGAATAAATAAAACACTTCTAATTTTGCAATGCAGTTTTTCAGTCAACTAATGTGTACAAAAATGCATAGATTAGGGAAACGTGCATTAAAATGTATATATTTGTGAAAATAATAAACAGGAACACGTTATGTTGGGGGGGAATATTTTGCAAAAATGTGACTGTTAGGCAAAAAGCAAGCAAAACTCTATCTGTTAGTAGAAATCTGCAGCGCTGATGAATTTTCATGAGGTGGTGTGGTTTTTTTGCAAATTGATACGGAGATGAGGAGAATGGAACTCAAGACTGGACAAGAAAGAAATGGAGAGAAACTGAAACTGACCGATGTAAAGGTATCACTGCCTTGCCGTGGCGAAGGGGCTTGAATAACTCAGAGAAGCTATGAACTATGCCGAGCAGGGCACCCAAGATGAACCAGTCATAGTGGAGAGTTTTGACCAAACGTGATCCACCTGGAGGAGGAACCGGCAAGCCACTCCAGTATCCCTGCCAAGAAAACTCCATGGACAAAGACAACAGGCATATAAAAGTTATGACGCTGGAAGATGAGCCCCTCAGGTTGGAAGGCGTCCAACATGCTACTGAGGAAGACAGAAGTGCCTGGCATGCTCTGGTCCATGGGGTCACGAAGAGTCGGACACAACTAAACGACTAAACAACAACAACCCTTGACCATTAGGTCCAGTCATGACCGACTCTGGGGTTGCGGCGATCATCTCGCTTTACTGGCCGAGGGAGCCGGCGTTTGTCCGCAAACACTTTCCGGGTCATGTGGCCAGCATGACTAAGCCGCTTCTGGTGAACCAGAGCAGCGCACAGAAATGCTGTTTACCTTCCCGCCAGAGCAGTACCTATTTATCTATTTGCACTTTGACATGCATTCAAACTGCTAGGTTGGCAGGAGCAGGGACCGAGCAACGGGAGCTCACCCCATTGCGGGGATTCGAACCGCCGGCCTTCTGATTGGCAAATCCTAGGCTCTGTGGTTTAACCCACAGAGCCACCCGCGTCCTGTAACTGGATTTTGGAACATGATTTTTGGTCTCCCAGTGCAGCATCTCCAATGCATCTCACCCTGACCTCCATGGCACCTTCCCCACTGCTTGTCTTCTGTGGAGACCTGCTTACTGTAGCAGCCCGGTAAGGAGAAGACAGGTGACAGGACTAGGGTTAGGGAAGAAGCAGTAGGGTGGAGCCTGTCTCCCACTGCAGTGGGCGGTTAAGAGGCTTGGGCAACCCTAATTACCAACTGTTGGCAACTGGTAAAGTGACTTTGTAGTGTCCTTCAAGCAAGGCTTTTGGTTGATGGAGAATACCCAGACTCCCATTACTGCCTTAGCTGTGTGCTCAGGGATGCAACTTGAACCCACTTTCCTGACGAAAGGCTGTAGCTTCCAGCTTCCATGCAAAAGGTCCCAGCTTTGGTTCCTGGCATTTCTAGGTAAGACCTGGATAGCTCAGTTGGTTAGAATGTGGTGCTGAGAGCACCAAGGTTGCAGGTTCGATGCCCATATGGAACAGCTGCATATTGCTTCTGCAGTGCAGGGAGTTAGATTAGATGGTCCCAGGATGATCTGGTTCTGTGATTCTATGAAACTCTAGAGTGCTGCTGCCAGTCAGTGGGGACATCACTGAACCAGATGGACCAATGCCCTGACTCAGCAGAAGGCCGTTTCCTATATTCTTTCCATTCCAAGGGAGAATCTCCTGGGGTCAGTTCAACTTGTTTTATGACCATTTTACACTGAGAATCACAGCCCATACTTAGCAGATCTCCAAACTTGTGCTTAATAAGAGCCTGCAGGTTCCCAGGAGGCAATGCCTCTTCCAAAGATTTGCCTTAGGAGCAAAAAGAAAGAAAACCAGTGTTTTTTCGGAGAATCTATTACTAGGCTGAGACTGTGACTTTCCCCCCTTTTTTCTTTTGCAAAGGTTTGGAGTGCAGTGCTGTTACCATTTTTACATCCCTGTCTTTTTTGGAAGGCTGGCAAAACTATCATTTTATTATTTTGTGTTTATTTATTGGATTTTTTTAAAAAAATGTCTCCGATCCAGTGGCTTGAGGCGGTGCACAAAAAAGCAGAACGATGCAGCTATATAGCAAACCAAACAAAAAAGCAGATCACAATAAAATCTGAAATCCAACACAGGCTCAGAGACAGAGACTGAGCACAGACATAAATATCCACAAAATACTTGTGCAAGGTATACTGTCCTCTTCTGCAAAACCCTGCAAATTTAACCTGTTTGAAACGTAAAATATCCTCTCTTGATAACCAGATCAGAAACCCATGTTTCCAGGGCAGTGGGTCAATTAGAGTTGGGCAAGGCATAGATTCATAGATTCATGGATTCATAGAACTGTAGAGTTGGAAGGGACCCTGAGGACCATCTAGTCCAACCCCCTGCAAGGCAGGAATATGCAATTGTTCTACACAGGGATCGAACCTGCAACCTTGTCGTTATCAGCACCACACTCTAATCAGCATGAATGACATTGGACATAGGAGTGTAACAAACTATGCAGAGAATCCCAAAGGGATAAGTGCAAGGGAGGTTATTCAATTCAGTTCACATTTAAAGTCAAATCTCCCTAATTTGCACTTTCTGAAACAACCTGTAACACAGCCATCCATTCTTCAACATTTGCCCCTTTTCTGAATTTTGCAATGCAATTCCCCAGCTGTGGAACGTGTGCAAAAATGCACCATGTGTGGTTAAATGTGGATAACAAAGCATATATTAGTGGAAAGAGCGTACAAAATAATAATAATAATAATAATAATAATAATAATAATAATAATAATAATTACATTATAGGGGAAATTGCTATGTGTATACAACACTGTATACAAAAATGTGTGTGCTAGGAGAAATTTGACTAAAACGCTCATGAATTTTCATGAGGGCTTAAAAAAAAATAATCTGCAAAATCACGTGGAAATGTCGAGAACTGAATTTACAATTGGACAAATGAGAAACTGAGCGTAACCATAACTGACAGATTTACCCAACCCCCAAACTGAATCCGCAAATGTGTCAAACATTCTGTGTTTGACAGGAAATTGAGTAGAAAATACTCACCAGTGTTTTGCAAGGTTGGGGATCTCTCTGAATGGCATTTGATTCTTTTAAAGCCAGTCTAAGCCAAACCTTTGCAATCAAGACCAATACGTACTCAAGCTCATTACACTTCAGATTTACACTTCAGAGAGTTCCTTGGGGTCACTTCACACATTAGACTTTTGAGAAGAATACGCTGAAGAGATTATAAGCGGAGCGCTAAAAGTAAAACTATAAACTGTGAATGTGGAGTGGGGGGAAAGTTTGAAAACACATATAATCAAGGAGTCCCAACTGACTGCAGCTCCCTGTTGAGGGTAGGCTTGGTGGCAAAGCCAGATGCACCTTTTGTAATGTGTGAAATGGCCCTGATGAAGCTCCCCAAATCATGTTGTTACAAGGTGTCAGAGGCCAGTGACTCCAAGACGTGGAACTTAGATGTGTTTATACACACCTGCTCTCGCAAATCTTTGCTGCCTTGATTCTGCATGCCAAGATGGGCAACAGGTTCTGAGCGCATTGTCTGGGAATGGAAGGACTGGAGAGCAAATCCAGGGCATTTTTCATTCAGTTTGCTGTGATTCAGAACCACTTGTGAGAGGTTAGGGTTGTGATCACTCATTTGCGAGCACGGCTCATTCATTCTAACCCACACAGTCGACCCCTCTGGCAAAAGGATGGGACTTTGCTGCCACGTGTACACAGGGAAGGACATTTTTCCTTATGAAAACCAATGAGCCAGGCTCTCTAATAAATCTGTCATTGACTGGGCTGTCGTTGAGTGGGTGGAAGGCAGCATGAAGGGCAGCCCTTAGAATGAGTCAGTTTATTTAGATGTCAAGGACCTACTGCTGCCATTTTACCCATCATTAATTCTTTTCACCCCTCGAAAGAAATCCCAAGGTCCAATGGATTCTGTACTTTTCCCCCCTACACTTTTGGGGAGGGCTGCTGTCCAGAGTGCTGATTGGGAAATCTAGACTTGTGGTATTACTATGAAGCCTTTCACAAGCTGCACCTTCACAATGGCAGCCCGGTCCTACGCCCGTTTACTTGGATGTAGTCCTACTGAGTCCATGTGGATTTCATCCTAAGAGGGACTGCAGCCCTGGTGGAGGATGATATGGAGTGGGGCACACGGATGTAAGATCACACATGGATTCTCCCTGGATGGTGATTCATCATGATGCCTTTTTATGAAATCTCCATGTACAGAAGCAGATTGCCACTGGATGCCAATTGGCACTGAGCAAGAGTGAAAGAGGGCTACTACCTTGAGGATCCCGGCTAGGCTAAATCAGACATGGGAACCTTGAGTCTGTGAGTGAAAGGTGGCCCTCTCAGTCTCTCTGTCTGGCCCTTGGGATTCTCTCCAGGCCACCACCTCTCTCCCAAGACCCATGCCTTGCTTTGCTGCAGAGGGAGGCACAACGGGCCCCATAGAACGGGCCTGGTGTATTGTGATGCTGCTGAAATACTGCACATTCTGCTCCTATCAGGAAGCACACATTCTCTTGAAGGAGCACTGCACCCAGTTCTTGCCATTAACATCCATCCATGAGGCCCTGATCTAGTTATGATTGGTTATGGATTATTAAACAGCTGCCCTCAATAAGGGAGCAGTGATCCCTTATTGATGGAACACTCATTAGGGTTCATTCCATTAGGATATGTTCTCCTCTCTTTGAGTCCGTGTGATCATACCTTTTCACTTCATCTCCAGCAATTAGATTAAGCAAGTTATTTTTGCTCTTGTTTTGGTTCTTCTGGTGCTATTTTGATTGCCCTGCTGTTGATGCTGTTTGCTTAGGCTTTTTGTCTATTTGGATTTCAAAAAAAGAAGAACCACCACCTAATTATTGTAATCATACATTGTCTTAGTTTCTTTTTATCGTAAACCACCTTGGGAGCCATCGTAGAGGAAAGGCAGTGTATAAATAAATAAACATAATGGGAAAGCGAGTTCCTTAATGAGAAGTCCTTTCCTGGTTGTAGAGCACTCATCAGTGAGTTGACCTGGGATGCAATGCAGATTCCACATGCCTTTCCCAGATGATATCCCAGGAAACTGTCTGACGCAAACATGCTTTAAGAAAAACCTCCGAGGTGTATGCTGCCCATGTCTGGGTCCATCCTATTACACCATTATCCTACTGATTCACTCCGCAAAGCGAAAAATCCAGACACGAACCTTGGAGGCTGCCAGACAATTTAGATAGATGACAGGTTGCTGAGCGACTCTTGAAATTTCTGCCTGCCACCTCCTGAGCAGCAGCTGTCGTATTTTAACCATGGCATTTCCGTTAGCCACGTTTTATCCAGAAACAATGGTATTAATATGATGTGCCTAAAACAGATTAAGAATGTGACAAGAATCAGCAGAATATATATCTGTATGTATACCCCCACACCCACACATACAGACATATATCTCTTTATTGGCTGTCGCTGTAACAGAGAATTGTTCGTTATATGCTGCAGTGAGTGGCCAGGATGACATCGCAGCACACCTTACTGTGGAAGCGCAGATCCATGCTGCAGAAACTGAACTATAGCCACATGCAAGACTAGCCCAAGTCCTTTCTGGGCCTGAGATACAAAACCCAAATGGCATCCTTTCCGAAAGCTGAATCATAGGCCACATTTCTCTGGGACTTTCTTCAGTGAAAGCACCTCATTGAAATGAACAAGAGCTTTGGGTGAACACTGCTGTCCTTTCGCAAAACTCCTGTCAATTCCAATGAGGCTTCTGCAGAAACTGTGCTCCGTGGAGCAGCCCTCAGTTCTTTGTGTCTCCCACACTGTTTTCCTTAATGACTTCCTAAATCCACCACCTGAGGTTACCACTTCCTTTTGGTTTGTGGCAGAACATGGCTTGGGGTAACCAGAGAGAGAGATAGAACATTAACATCATAGTTTCCACTTCAGGATGACACTTTGAAGTCAACAACAGGCAAATCTGTGGCCTATTGCTGTAAGCCACCATGGTCCTTGCATGGGATTCAGCAGGGTGTATGTCAATGAAACACCCTGTAACCCAAAGATGGGGAACCTCAAACTCCAAAACTACAATAGGGCAAGGTGATGGAATGCAAATCAGTTATTAGTGTTTCTTTGTCCTAGCAGACCCCTACACATCCCAGAATCTGTTGGCACCTAGATTGGCAAATTTTGCATTTGTTTGTTTGTGTAAAGCACTCCTAAGACTTGGTTGAATGGGTGGTACATATGAGTAATTAGTAAATAAATACTATAAACAAAAACAATATATGCTTGCAATCCTATACCCAATTACCTGGAAGCCCCATTGAACCCAATAGAACTTACACCTGTGCAGCCAAGATGGTCCTGCAAGCCTGCAAAACTCCTCCGAGACTCTGACTTACACTAAAACAAAAAGAGGTAAAGGTAAAGGACCCTGGGTGATTAAGTCCAGTCAAAGGTGACTATGGGGTTGCAGCACTTTTCTCCACTTTCAGGCTGAGAGAGCTGGCGTTTGTCCACAGACAGCTTTCCAGGTCATGCAGCCAGCATGACTAAACCGCCACTGGCGCAATGGGACACCATGACGGAAACCAGAGTGCAAGGAAACGCCGTTTAACTTCCCGCCACAGCAGTACCTATTTATCTACTTGCACTGGCATGCTTTCGAACTGCTAGGTTGGGAGGAGCTGGGACAGAGCAATGGGAGCTCACCCCGTTGCACAGATTTGAACTGCTGACCTTCTGATTGGAAAGCCCAAGAAGCTCAGTGGTTTAGATCACAGCACCACCCCCATTGAGTACTACATATGCAGACTTGATGCCTTTAACACTATGCCTGCTCCCCCGCCCCGCCCTCCATACTTGACATCCAGCATGATTAAGAATTCAAAACTCGAAAGCTTGACCACCTTCTTGTGACATTTGGTGTTCCTTGACTGTAGATTTTTCCAGTTTTAACTAGACTGAGAAGTTCATGTGTGGATGCACCACTGAAGAATGAGGAAGTAGCAAATGAACATTTTAAAAGGGAAACAAGTGCTGTCAGCAAGGCGGCTAGTATTTACTAAAGCTTTCTCTGTCTTTGAAGTTCACCTCCTAGAAAGAACAATACTGACCCCTACAAGAAAACGCAGGTTGAAGTTTTCAAATATTCATTTTTAGCTTTTACTAGAGTTTGATAGTGGCTCTGGCAATAGGTACTCAATAAATCTATCAAATAAATGAATGGTTCAGTTTACTGATTACTGTTAAAGGCCTTGCCCCTTTGAAAATGCAGTCAATAGATATTTTATCGCCACAACTCAAGCAGCTGCAAAGTGACATGTATTCTAGGAGCTGTTATTAAGAAAGCAAAGTTTGTTAGCTATGGAATATGTGGTATGCCTGTCCCAGACCTTCTGAGTTTCCCGCTCCTCCACATCCCCCACCACACACACAAAATTGGTATCAATTTAGTTTATCCCTCATTGTCTGTATTCCACCTTTCCCTTCAACTGGTACTCAAAAGCACACTGCCTCAGACAGTGGAAGTAAATGGCTGGTAGCTATTGATCGCTTTATCCTCCATCCATTTGTCAAATTCTTTTTTTCAAGCCATCGCTACCCCTTGTGGGAATGAATTCCATAGTTTAACTAGACACTGTACCATGCAACGCTCCCAATGATGCTTTTGCTCCCTGCTAAGCTCCCTGCTGCTTGTCCCTCCCCCTCTTGGTAAGTAGCAGCAGCACATGGTGCTGAGAAACCAAAAAAGCGTCGCAGCCCCCCCCCCTGCACCCCTGGGCTTGCCAATCGTAAGGTCAGCAGTTTGAATCCGCTTGGCGGAGTGAGCTCCTGTTCCTCTGTCCCAGCTCCTGCCAACCTAGCAGTTCGAAAGCACACCAGTGCAAGTAGATAAATAGGTACTGCTGTGGCGGGAAAGTAAACGGTGTTTCCGTGCACTCTGGCACTCGTCACAGTCCTCCCTGCACCAGATGCGGTTTAGTCATTCTGGCCACATGACCCAGAAAGCTGTCTGTGGATAAACGCCGTCTCCCTTGGCCTGAAAGCAGTGAAGAGTGCAGCATCCTGAAGTTGAATTTGACTGGACTTAACCATCCAGGAGTCCTTTAACTTTACCTATCTATGCTGGCCATACTGGTGTGTGGTTGTGGGTGTTGGAGCTGTATAAATTTGTTTTTGTTTTGTTTGAATTTGTAAGTGGCACAATCTATTAATGTTTATGCCTTCAAATGTGCTATAAGTTGCTTGGAGACCTTTGGGGAACAAGCAACTAACCAGTCTAATAAATAAGCAAATAAACGATGACTTGCAATGCCCTCAGTCCCCACTTCTTCCCACCTCTCTTGATGCAATGGCTGTCCAAGCTACAAGCTGCCCCCCCTCCACTAAAAAAAAGAAATCACAAGGGTGCTATGGACATGTCTCTTTGTCAGCCGTTACCTACAAAGAATTATTTCACATATGCCGGCAAGGCAAAAATCTATGTGGCCAAGGTCCCAGAAAGGTCATGTTGCACTGCACCAAAATAGGTAAATTTTAGTAACTGTTCTCTGCCCAAATATACAGGAAAAATGCCTTGTAAGCCATGATATGACATTTGCTAATCCTGCTATCACAGCAACAAAAGGGGGGGGGTAACGTCTATGTGCATTCTAGCCAAAGTCAACGTTACATTCAACTTTTGAGTGCAGGACCTGTAGAAAATGGATGGTTAGATAAAATAGTATTACACAGTGCTGTTTTTCTAGAAAAAAATGGTGCTGGAACTCACCATGAACACCTCCCTTGTTCTCTTAGAATGGCAATGATGCCCACCTGAGAGGTGCCAGAACTGAGTTCCTGTGAGTTCCCCCTGGGGGGAAAAAGCCCTGGTATTACAGTGCATCTTATGTACATTTCCTCTGAATTAAGTCCCATTGTTTCCTATGAGGCTTTAGACATGTTTGGGATTGCAGCCTTGTAGTGCAATCATATAGTGCAATCATCAGGGACGTGGGGGCACTGTGGATTAAACCACCGAGCCTAGGACTTGCCGATCATAAGGTTGGCGGTTCGAATCCCCACGACGAGGTGAGCTCCCGTTGCTTGGTCCCTTCTCCTGCCAACCTAGCAGTTTGAAAGCATGTCAAAGTGCAAGTAGATAAATAGGTACCTCTCTGGTGGGAAGGTAAACGGCGTTTCCGTGCGCTGCTCTGGTTTGCCAGAAGCGGCTTAGTCATGCTGGCCACATGACCCAGAAGCTGTACGCTGGCTCCCTCGGCCAATAAAGCAAGATGAGCGCCACAACCCCAGAGTCAGCCACGACTGGACCTAATGGTCAAGGGTCCCTTTACCTTTACCTAGTGCAATCATAGACATGTCAGCTGGATAGCGCAGTTGGTATGGCATGGTGCTGATAATGCCAAGACTGCAGGTTCGATCTCTGTATGGGGCAGCTTCGATCTGCTATTTGTTTTCCCTGTCATTCAAAAGTCTCCCTTCTTAAAATAAAAGAAACAGAACAAAACAAGCTCCAGCCCCCCCCCCTTTTTGGTGCATCTAGTGCAGGGCTATATTGTTTGGCACTCTCTCTTTCTAGAGTACAACCACTTCATTATATTTACTCATCAGAAGTACAGGGGCTGGCAAACAGCAGCAGCCTCATATTACTCTCCAAACCTACAACCTGCTGCTTAAGCCGTGGGATTTGAGTGAAGGGCAGTAATTATCTGTGCTGTGTTATGCAGCGAAGGGAGGAGCTGACCACACAGGTGGTAATTTGGTGGTAGGGAAATAGAAGGAAAGGGGGTAATTTGGTAGCGTAAACCCGGAGGGAGAGGAGTTGTGCTGTGGCGGTGATAACTATGTAATTGCTGGTAAGGACAGCTGAGGAAATGTGTGCAGCAGGGCTATGCTGCCGTAGAAAAATGCCTGGATGCAGCAGAAAGTGGAAAGCAGTGACATGTGAAGATAGGGAGCTGTCTTAGACCAAATCAGACTATTGGACCATTTAACGCAGCCATGTCTACACAACCGGCTGTGGCTCTCCAGGGTTTCAGGTAGGAGATGCCAGGAACTGAACCTGGGGCCTTTGGCATGCAGAGCACATGCTCTAAGACAGAGCACAGGATTTTGTAGTGTACAGTTCTCCATAGCAAAGTGAGTTGAAGAAATCTCCTGAGACATTTGGATGCCAGCCTGCTGCAGAAAGCATCTATAGAAGCACTGTTAAAGATGAAACTAAGCACCGTCACCGAGATCCTCACTTTTTCCCTCCTGAGTCATGCCACACCTTTTATTACCTGCCCTACCTATTTTATGGGATGTTAGGTAGTACCTCTGGTGGAGGACATGTCATGCTCCTTCTGGGGTAGTTTGCCCACCTTTGCACTCAGCTCTCTCCTGTGGCGCCGAGAAGCTGTCAGCATGTGACAGTGGCCACACCTTGAGAACATGTTTGACTGGCTGGCTACACCAGGTGAGGAGAGCCGATGGGTCTCAAACCCTCAGTGGGTTAGGAACTTCCTCTGCATGTGAATGCAGGTTACAGTGGATTGAGTGGAGAAGACTAATAGTGGATTTGAAGGTCAAGAGGGCAGTCTCTGCATGTGCTGCAGAGGAGGAAGTGAGGAGCAGATGGGGCTCATCACCTGGGAAGCTATCCCATCTAGAAGGAAAACTCTGATCCTAAACATCCACTAGGGATGCGAGTGGCGCTGTGGCCTAAACCACAGAGCCTAGGACTTGCCGATCAGAAGGTCAGCGGTTCGAATCCCCACGACGGGGGGAGCTCCTGTTGTTCGGTCCCAGCTCCTGGCCACCTAGCAGTTCAACAGCACGTCAAGTGCAAGTAGATAAATAGGTACTGCTCCAGCGGGAAGGTAAACGGCATTTCTGTGCGCTGCTCTGGTTTGCCAGAAGCAGCTTAGTCATGCTGGCCACATGACCTGGAAGCTGTACGCCGGCTCCCTCGGCCAATAAAGCGAGATGAGCACTGCAACCCCAGAGTCGTCCGCGACTGGACCTAACGGTCAGGGATACCTTTACCTTTAAACCTCCACTGCCCTGTGGGATATGTTCAGGAGGAGAAAAGGCAAAGGAGTAAACACTACACAAATCCAGAGTGGAGTCCCTAAAGTGGTTGGATGGTGCCTTGTACGCCTCCTTCTGGCAACTCCTGCAGCCAAGCTGGTGCCAAGCCTATTGCTCAGCTTTCCTTTGGAGCACATCAGTTGGGTTGAGAGGGGAGATCTTGACATCTGGGCAGCCCAGGACCTCCATGCACACTGCCCAGGCTTGCACACCATGGAAGGTCACTTCGGTGCTGCTAATGCAGCGGTTTGACTTCTCCCTTGGAGGCACACTCCATTGTCTCTCGATGCCCACAAGCTGTTTCAGGTGACAGCTCACAACCCAATAAAGTTGAAAACAGGCATGAGGGTGGCAGGATGGATTGCTCACTTCCTCTTGATACATGAGCAGCATTCCCAACAGAGCTGAAAACATGCCTGGGACCTCAGTTCCCAAATTATGTGCAATCCCTTTCCTGGTCATCAGACAAGTTCTTGCAAAGGCAAAACCAATCCTGGATGTTTGGCCACCCTGCTGGGTACATAATCAGCAGCTGTCTATCTCCAGGACCTCTTAGCTGGATTCCTGGGCAATCACAGTGTGTATTGCCTATGATCTGGTACTGGGTAATAAAGGATTCTACCTGAGTAAGCAGCTGAAAAGCCAAAGCAAAGAATTCTAGTGGGCAGGAGAGACAAGGACTTTTTGACCATCGTTGCAGCTAGCAGCCCTTGGTTTCTATTCATACTTTTAATTCATCTAAAATCTGAAATGAGTTTTAGAAGCAGATCCAGTTATGGGCCAGTGAGCAAATCCACAGTCTTTATTTGTTTTGTTTTGTTTTTTTAAAAAAAAGCATTGGTGCAACTGGTTTGCCATGAGAACATTTGGATCTCAGATGGCTTTTTTTAAAGTGATGTCTCTTTTAAAGTAAATAGTAGGTCAAGTGGCTCCCTGACCTGAATCAGGACCCTCAATGGGTTTTTTGAGGGATTTCACCCTTTCTTCCTCTGTGGTTCTGATCCATTTGTGGGGGGAGAGAGAGCACGCTGCTATTTGCAATGAAATAAAAGCTCCCATTTGCAATGGAAGCTTCCAATGTAGTTGCTGGTTGAGTAAATGGCATCTTGTCTAGTTGGGGCCTAAGCAAGCAATCTTATAAGTGGGTTGAGTGTGTATGCGGTCCAATTTCTTTGAGTGGTTAGATGATGTCGTCTAACATCACCATTAATGGTCCCACACTTTCCAGTGCACTTTTCCTGTCGTCTTCCTTACCGCAAACAGTCCACAAGAGTGCCAAATCCAATTTAACAGTGCAACCTGTATGACTGAATCACACTTGCTAGTCAGCAAGACGCTGGAAGTGGCCAAAGTCATGGCGGGCAAACTCTCCTTCAGGGGCCCTTGCTGCAGACCATTACTGGTTGTTGTTGTTGTTGTTGTTGTTTGAGCACCAAGAGAGGTCTAGACTCTCGCTCAAAGGCTCACAACCAAACAACGAACCTCTGACAGAAACAAGATGGCTGCATCCCCTTTCTGCTCCTGAGAGAACTTCCTGTTGCTGCCCTGTGCCACTTCCATGCCAGGCAATTGCTCCAGCCCTTTGGGGAAGGAAGGGGCAGGATGAAACCCGCTCCTTCACCCACCTGCCCACCTCCGTGGTTCACCTAGGCCACACCATACAAGAAGACAAGGGACCTGCTGAGCCAAACCTCAGAACGGCAGAGCTAGAGAGGGAGCAGCAGGCCCCTGTAAGGAGAGGCCTATTAAAATTCTGAGCAGGCACCAGATCCGGGACAAACCAGCTCTCCCCTCCTGCCACTTGCAGGTGACGTCATAGCTAAAGGAGTGTGGGGGAGGGGAGACTCCAGAATCCTCCTCCTCCTCACTGCAGGGGATGGACTTGGACAGATCCACCAAACGGCAGGCACCAGCCGCCCCCGCAGCTGCTGCGGAGAAGTGGGGGTGGGAGAGGGAGAGGGAGGCGGGGGAGGGGGATTCTACCGTGCTATCCCCACCTAGGCGATGGAGGGAAGGACGGGCGGTTGCTCACGCTCGTGTTCCCCACCCCGCCACCCCCTCCCCTGTAGCTCCTCTCCATCTTTCTCTGCAAAGCCCCCCCTCCCCTGCGTGATCCCCCTCCCCGAGGCGCCTCTAGAAGCCTCACCTGATTATAAAACTCCGGCTACAGCTCTCACATTCTGCAGTGGTGCCATGAGAGAGAGAGAGAGAGAGAGAGAGAGAGAGAGAGAGAGAGAGAGAGAGAGAGCGCTCGCCACCAGCACGTCTTGTCCACATCAACACATTATCGCTAGCTTGCAACGCGATCAGACAGATAAGCACTTGAAATCCCCCCCCCCCTTTGATTTGTACACACGGGTGTGGGTGTGTGCGGACACACAATTATTATTTTTTTGCGTCTCCAAGGGAGACCCTAACCCTTAAAAAAAGGAAGTTCGGGCGCGTCCTCCCACCCAATCCAGCGCGCAGGTTTACTCGGAACCGACTGAGACTGCAGTCCTATAGACCTCCACTCCCACCCGCCGCCGCCTCCCCGAGAGTAAACCACACTGCGCTCAAGGGGGCACATTACTCCTGAATTGGCAGGCGCTGTGGGTTTGCTCTCGCTCAGGTGAACTGCCCTGACTGCAACCACCTGACCCCCAGCTGCCCCCCACCCCCAGCAGGAGCGCAGCCAAGAGCGTGGGCATTACGACTGGTATTTCCCCACCTGGGCGCTGCTTTCCCGCATTACATAACCGGGCGACGGCAGATGCAACCTTTCAGAGTTAGCCAGGGACGCACGGACATAGATGAGAACCGGGAGATGCGTGGTGAGGCACGTCTGCGCGTGTGGACACAAATAAACTTAGCCGGAGAGGGCGTTTTGCTATGGGTACGGTGTGGTTCATCCCTAAGGGGGCCATCCGCCGCTTTCCTCTCTCCTTCCCCACGAATGCAAATGTTGCTCCCTCTTTCCACTGCACAATCAGGGCAATCGCTTGCCTGGCAGAAATCTTCAGGGGCGCCGATCCCATCCCACTCCGTCCCCCACACCACCACCCACTGCCTTGCGCCCTTCTTGCGCCTGTTGCTCTCCTCCTGGGACCACCTTTCTCTCCATGCGCGCCTTGTCCCTGGCCTGTTTGCTCGCCAGGAGACCGTCTGGCCGGCGGTGGTCGAGAGAGAGAGCGCCCCCTGCAGGCCTGTCTGGAGCCTCGCCCGGCCAAGGGGAAAGCAAAGGTGGAACTGACTGCACTATGATGGGGAGAGCGCAGGGCCAAAGGGGCCTGGACCAGGCGAGAGGAGGGGGCGGGTGCTGCTGCGCTTTGGCGCCCGCCAAGGTGCGCCCCGAGGCCCACGCGCTCCCTAGAGGTCTTTCGGGGTCACTCGGAGCGCGGCGACTGCAAAAGGGGAAACCGTAATAGTGGAGAGGGAAGAGCTGGCTAAATCCAGTTTGCAATGTCTATAAATGGCGTTTCTCTCTTCCAAGGTGCACATTTTTTATTTTTGAAAAAAAATATCACTCAGTGTCATCCCTCACGTCAGGGCTGTTTGTGGGCGTGAGGTTGTACTTCCTCCGCCCCCTCCTAATGGAGTGAACCATTCCCTGCTCTGCCTTCCCTCTCTCCTTCTCGGTCTGTTTCTGCCCCCTTTCCCTCGATCTCTCTTCTTCTTCTTCTTCTTCTTCTTCTCCTCCAGCTCGGTGTGCGTGTCGGTGTGTTGTAAGAGGAGGAAAGGAAAGAAAAAGAAAAAATAATTTAAAAAATAAAAAAGAACAGGGCAGAGCAGAGCAGAAAGGAAAGGAAAAGTCTCTCGGCTGCTCGGAACTAGTTGGCAATGCCTGGGGTGCAACGGCCCCCCACATTTCCCCAAGTCACACTTTAAGGAAAGAAAGACAGGGAAGAGAAAGAGACACGAAAGATCTGCAGTCGCAAATGGTTGTACTCAATATAGGATGGGACTTAAGTTGAACGGCAGATACATTTCTCTGGTCCTTGCTGTGCAGCTAGGTAAGTGGACTCACACTTTCTTATGGAAGCAAGGGATTGGGGGGGGGGAGGATTTTGAAAGGGGGGGTTGCCTTCAAATGCACCAAAGTATGCATAGAGAAAGTAAATAAAAAAAATATGCAAAGCAACCCGGAATAGGCAAATTATTGCTGGCCAAAGATTGCCAATAATTTGTGACAACGAGACTCTGCAATACGAGGTCTGCAGCGCCGAATGTCTCTCTTCTCGCTTTTGTTTGAGAAAACACAGTTTGCTGGTTGCTTCAAAATCTCCCCCCTTCATTTCCCTTCCCCCTGCCCAAAAAGACCCCTTCCTCAATTGCATTGCTGTGTTGCTTATTTCTTGCCCCAAATATATTCGCGCGCGCGCGCGCGCGCACAAAAAGCTTGCATCTCTGGAGGGCTGCATCCTATTTGTCCAAAGCTAAATTCATACCCCCCCCCCCGCAACCTCCGGGCCGAAAAATAATAAGGAAATAAATGGAGAAGGAAGAGAAATTAAGAGAGATTGGTACAAAACAATGTAATTCCACCACTTCGAAATCCGAATCTGCAAAAGGGGAGGGAGAAAGCAAGAAAATCAAAAGGCAGTTTGAAGTTTCTGTCCCAACTGCAATCGTTTTACAAAAGTATACTGGAGAGGAGGAAGAGGGAGCATCTTGTATCAAAAGGTGAAGAAGGAAGGAGAAATCAAGGCGATCTTTGGCTAAGGTGGCTCGGGTTTTCTGAGCCTCTCTCCCTAAAATATTTGTTTTAAAATACTTATATTTGGATGGGGGGTTACTAAAAATAGCACGGACTTCATTGCACGTTGGGGAGGGGGACCCGGGGCTCGGTTTGTCCCTGGTTTTGTTTGATGTGCTATTCAAGGGTCCTCGTTTGAATGCTGTTGGGAGTTTATGCCTCGGAGGTTCCTTGGGAGTTAAGCATCACTTCGGGTTCTGCATTGAGCAACATTTAGAGGCGAAGCCTTCTTGTTTTGCTGCGGTGGTAGGAAAGGTAAATTCGACTGGCAGCTTAACTGGGAAGCGTGCCCTTCTACGTTTGTCATGGATGTAGATTTAAAGAACTGCAACCCTCCCCCCCCCTTCGGAAACGCTCCCCTCCCCTCCAGCTCCCTGTCCCAAATCTGCAGATCTCGGGTTTATTTCACTTTCTCTCGCTCTGTCGCCTGTCCCTGCAGCTTTTGAGAAATAGAGGCGGCTGGGGAGCGGTGGGGGAAAGCGATCATTGTCGACTCCTGGAGTAATAATAATAATAATAATAATAATAATAATAAATAATACAGACGAATAAATAATACGATCGTAAAAATAGAAGCAAGAATGGAATTAATTGCGTGCAGGGCCATCCTGGGAGTGTGTGCGTGTGTGTGTGTGTGTAAAGCTCCCCTAAGGTTGTGTCTTGACAACGCTGGAATTTCACTTCTATGTGCATTTCCATATTAAAAAATAGCCTCTGCCTCTATGTCCGGCTAAGGTTATTTTCCAGGAAGAGACACGGCATTGCCCTTGTCCTCGAAATGAATTTGTCCATTTGTTTCTTTTACCATTTGCAAGTCAGGATAGTCCTCATGCAGGAATTAGGAAGGCTAGAAACGGGGAGGGACACGCACACGCAAATATATGTATATTGTGTGTGTGTGTTTGTATAGGAAAGGCAGCTATGGAGTTGGACTGATTGAAAAACAAAGCAGTCTTTCTGGCATCACTTTTCCCAGAAGGAATCAAAAGGTTTTGATTCCTCACAACATGACCATTAGACAATCCAAAATCTTGCCTAGTGTTAGACAATAACATAACATTGGGCTTTGAACATCTGGATATCGTTTCTATTGGCAGAGTGCTGGAATTTGGGTTTGTAAATGGGAAATACTATGAGTTAAGGATGTGTGTGTGCTTCAGAATATATGCTCTCCTTTGCGTGTTGATCCTGGTGCCTCGAATGTGCCTGAAACGGGTGACCTTTTGGGGCAAAAAAGGCTTGCTGAATGAGACAAGGCAGGAAAAATAGGGGGGAGATGAAGACCTTCTGAAAAATAGAAACAGACCTGGGAGGTGCAAAAAGAGTGCCCGTGCACACTCGTACACACACATTTACACACGTGTCTGTGTGTCTGGCACACATTCTTCACATCTACCGTTCTTTTAGCTTCATTTAAAAAAACAGCAAAAAGAGCGCAAATCACGTGTGCGATTTGTACGCTGTTGTGAATGAGGTTTTGTCAACCTTTCATAAGAGCAAACGACCCTACATGATGGGCAGGAGACGAGGGAAGGCGCTCTCCAAGGTGCTGACGGTTGTTCTAGCTTGGCGGCAGGATGGTGGTCAGTTTCAGGAGCATAATGTTGTTTGCTACACGATCCCTTCTCTTCCTGTGGCAGCCACTACCAGGTCAACTGAACAGGTGGGAGAGGAGAGGCGCTTATTCTTAGCACTCCTCCGGTTAGCATCGTCATTGCCACCCTTCACACTTGGTTGCAAGGCGGGGGGGGGGGGTGAGGAAGACCGTCAAATACGTGGGCTGAAGACTTTCCTTTGGGAACATGCCCTTTCAGGATGCCTCAGCCGAGGAGAGACAGTTTTAAAACGCAAGGGCTGTGTGTGTGTGTGTGTGTGTGTGTGTTTAATAGGACGCGCTATACTCTGGGGATGGTCTCCTATGTGCGTTATTTGTTTGTAGGTTCCAGTGTGTGTGGCAGCCAATGTCTGCAGCCTCTGCGTGTTTTGACGTGCTGGGGAGTGGGTTAGAGAAGGAGGGAGGTGGTTACTAAATCAGGTTAGCCATAAATCAGTGGGAGGGAGGGAAGAGGGGGGTTTCCACCGACACTCAGCATTGTGGACAGGACCTCTTTTATTCCAGAACCGATTTCCCCTTACACACACACACACACACACACACACAGCCCTTTAAATGGTTCGCTTCGATCCTCTCTAAAGAAGTGAAAAATAAATAAAAACTCTCTCTTCCCCTTGCAATCTCTAATCTACGCTGTAAATGTCCCCGAGGCTGGGCAAGCGCACTAAGCGCACGGCGGAGGGGAAATGGATATATTCCCTAACCCGCTTGCTTTGGAAGGCTGTGGCGTTGGGCAACGAGAGCCGCGGACGGTTTGCTGGGGATCAAGCCAGTGATCAATTAAACCAACAAGACGCTAATTCCCTTTCATTTGCTGCAGGATTGGTAGGGATAAAGCCCCCGTATGCTCCTCGCTATCAACACACCTGCTCCTGCAAAGCCAGAGACATTGCTGCTGCGGCTGCTTTTGATATGTGTGATTTTGTGTGTGTGTGTGTGTGTGTGTGTGAGAGAGAGAGAGAGAGAGAGAGAGAGAGAGAGAGAGAGAGAAAGCAATGTAGTCAATTCATCAGCGCGCAAGCAAAAATGACTCAACTACTCCCCACCCCGCTCACTCACACACTGACAGAGAGAGAGAGAAAGAGCGCGTTGCAGTGATGAAGAGAGAAATTTCACCACCCGTGCAATATCTAGAACCATTATGATCAAAGAGCCTTTTGCTTGGGTTGGGGTAGCTTCGCTTTGGGAAAGCGTAGAATGAACAACGAAGTCCTTCAGATTAGTAGGTGTCCTCCCCCCCCCCCTTTGATTTGATGTCTGCTGCACCCAAAAGAGACGTCAGGAAGCCGTGTTTCTCTCCCCCCCCCCTGCCCCCAGGGAAGGGTCTCCAGGCTTCATGCTTCCTGCAGATCTTTCAGAGCGACTTGGGGATTTCACTGCGAGAGGCAGAAGATGGATAGTGGAGAATCAGTGTCGATGATGTGTGTGGTGGATAGAGACAGCAGAGCAGACGCTCTTGGGGTGGCGGGGGAGAACTCAGCCAAGGCGAGTGGTGGAGAGATTAAATGAGACAGGGTGAGCCCAGAGGATGTTCGTCTGTCTCCACTTCAGTGGAAGAACCTGAATGGGGAAGTCGCGGACGACGAGGAGGAGGGACCAAGAATAAGGGATTAAGCATGCACCGAACATGTCAACCTCCCTTTAGGTTCTCACTGATGCGTTACACATTAATAGGAATTCACATGCGACTAAGCAACTCACTGTTCTCCCCAGTGCATTGAATTGCATCCGCTATATCGCATTTCCAAAGGGGGCGGGTCTGTGGGTGCCCGTCCTTGACACAATTCTCACCATGCAACAGGGGAGGAAATAGGGGGAAAGGTTTTCTTGCGGGAAACAATTTGTTGAAGAGAAGACCTACATGTATGCCTGGTGATTTCTATTCCAGACTTTTTTCCTCCACCAGCTCCATTTTTCACCATAAAATACCCACCAGCTTCAGTTTTTGAAAGGCTCTGCAAGTTGCTACAACCTACTTGAAGGTTAAGTGTAATGATTATTAACTACCGCTAAACTGCTGAAATAAATTTGACGTTTTTTGAAGTTGACTTTTGGTTTTAAAAAGTAAGCGAAATTTAGAGAAACGGGGGAGGGGAGAGAAAGATTTTAAACTCCACTCCAAATAATTCAAAACAGTGTATCTTTAAGAGGATATTATACATATATAGATATTATACATATATATGGAACAACTTGACAGAAATGAGGTTGCTATTATTATAAGTGATGCAACTGCATTTTATTTGTTTATTTAAGGGACACTTTAAAAAGAAGCGTCAAAAGACGGTTTGATATGTGTGGTCTCCATTTAAAATATATCCGGTCCAATTAAATGATCCTGAAAGGGAAAATGACTTTTGTGATGAGAACAAAGCAAAGCAGATCCTCTTCCAGCTTTGAGACGCGTGTGCGCGCGCGTGTGTAGATGCGTGCGTAGATGAAGTGTGAAGGATAGGATTGATCACAGTTCTCTGGAGTCGGAATTCAGGGTTGGGTATCGCGCGCTGTTTACCTTGCTAGGAGCTGTCCAGTTGACGTGGTGCTGATCTGTTCCCCAGCATACCTGGTGCAAGCAGTCAGAGCAGCGGGCAAGTGCGATGCGGTCTTTCAGGGCTTCTCGAACTGTGTGCTCAAGATGGGCAATAAGATTGCCACCTACCCTCAAGACCTGGACGACAAGAGAAATCTCGAAACAATCTGCCGGTAGGTGCACCTCTTCTTGTTATGGCTCTTCACGGTGATTCTTTACTTTATAACACTGTATACGTATGTGCGTGTGTTTTGCAGGGAGTGGGGCTTTGACTTTTTGTTGAGATCTCTATGCTACTGTCATGTGAACCTAAAGCTCTGTAGCCAGACAAAAGACTACCAGTTTGCCAGAGGAGTTGTTCTTTCATGTGTAGTTTGCTTGCACGCTGCACAGGCTTAATCCTCAACAGACTGAAATGCTAAGCTAAGTATAACCATGCAAAGCACGCATGGATGTTGGGTGCAGTCTTCACCCTGTTAATGTAAATGGCAACAACCTCGTCGTTTTAATACCCCGATGTTAAGCACCTAGAAGTCCATCAGAATTCAACGGGATTTGCTTCCAAATATGTGTGCATTTCATATCTCGGCTCTCACTAGGCCCTGTTACAATTAGGGGTTTTCAAATTATTGTTATTATTCTGATACATTGTGCGATGGTTCTTCTATTTTCCTTCTGATTTCTTTTTGCTAGTAACAATAATCAGCAGGACAGTATTCACGTCCCTGCCTGCTCAATTAATAGCGTCATGCACATAAAATGCATAGGAACAACAACTTTGCTTCCACTCCCAAAAAATTTGGTATTGTCCCTCTGAGGTTTGAAACGGTAGTTTTCAATGCCTGAGACAAGGCTTGCAGCAGAGGTGTCCAGCTCTATTGTCTCCTTAGTCCACTTGGAAGAGCTTTTAACGGAATAGGTTTATTCTATCTGAAGGTATGATGAGGAATAGCTACCCAAAATGAGCGAAAGGGGGTGGATAATGCTTTAAAATGCTCGCGAGGGCTGGTAAAGTTTTAGAATGTGATGTAAAACTGCGATGTAATCTTACAGTGCACCGCACTATAATTTCAGTACAAATGTCTGCTTTGTCATGCCATGTGGTCACTTACTATAGTGTTGTTTTGTGTGTGTAATGTAATACAGCCCATATTAAACTGAATCGTGATAATGTGGTGTTGTGTTGGGATCCCCACCCCATCCGTTGCAAGAGTTGCTGCAGTTAAGGTTGCCATGTGTCCTCTTTTTCCAGGGCACGTTCTCTATTTCAGGGGTAGAATCTGAGACAAAATTGCATTCATTTGCTTTGAATAGCCGTCATAGCGTCCTCTTTTTTTGCCCTTCAAAATATGACAACTCTACTGTAAAGTACAGAGCGGGGATTCAAACCTAGGTCTCCCTGTCCCAAGCCTCCTTATAGGACATCCCTTTAGAATTCGTATTTTAAAACGAAGACATTAAAAAGTTTTAAACTGCAACTGAACAGCCTGGTGTGGTTTTTGCAAGCCATTTTTGGAGCCCCGAAGGCGCTATAGATGCAAGTGGTCTTGTTTCCCGTGAGGGAACGAGAGAGATCATATTTCTACAGGGCAACCGAATCTAAATCCCAAACCAGTGGACAGATTGTGTGCGTAAATTTGCCTCCCACCTACTCGCTGCTAAGCAAAATTCGAAAACAAGATTTCATTCTACCAAAATATCTTGAGTTAGGTTGTCCCATTCCAGTCCACTATTTAGATGGGAAGTTGACACGCAGCCAAACTGTTTTCATGTTTCCTTGAGAGCAAGCCCCTCTCATTTTAACTGGACTTAACATCCAAGTCAGACTGTAATGATCATGTTCCACAGAATCAAATGAAATTTGTTTCCAACACCACGGCAGCAGCCTGACACTTTAAACTGGTTTTACTGGGAATGATACCGTTGGATTTACTGGGATTTACTTCTGAAAAAGCCTGCCTATATAGAATCGGACTGTAAACGTGCTGAGGCTTTCAAGTCTTAATTGGACACCGAAACTTAACTTGCTCGAAATATATATAAAAAAATATGCTGAAGGCATTGGGACTAATTCCCTGTTAAATCCGAGTACCCATCGGCTTGAATCCAAAATTACTTCCTCTTGAATTGTGTGGGCGAGGATAAAAGCAGCTCAGATCAAACTGGGCTGTGTATTTACCTCAAAGGTAAATTCATTCATTTAGAAATTAGTGCTTTTGAAACCACTGTTTAGAATTGGGTTGCATCTAGGCGGTTTTATTGGTTTATTTTTGTTAATAGGGGCGGAGGAACAGTGTAGTTGATTATAAAGATGGGAGCCGAAATTCCAAAGAGAATTGCCCATTCTTCCCCTCTCCCTGCAAAATCCAACGTCCCACCTCGCAATATAATAGCGAGGGATTGCCTTTTGCTTTCTATTCCTTTCCTCAGGACATTTCGTTTGAATGACTGGCATTCCAGCTAGACCTCTATCTATATGAGACAGCAACAAAATACTCTGGTGTTGGCAGCAACATGGCGCGGTCCTGGGGGGGAGAAATCGAAAGATACCCCCTTCCCTCCAATCATGAGAAACGCCAGCCACCGCCCAGCCATCATAATGTACATTCAGCGGAGACATTCGCTGCCCCCGCGCGCAAGACAGCAACTCCCGCTTCCCAGCCGTGTTGGAAACCTCCGTTGTTTCCCAGAAAATGTCTGCCTGGGATCCTGCTTGACAGAACAACTAGTTAGCTACAAAAAATACAAAATAAGAGAGCTGCAGTATGCTTGGCGCGAGACAGAAAGGAAGTGGGGAGCAGGAGGAGGAGGAGGTTGGAGGAAGAGGCGCCCCCACCAACACACACACACACACACACACACACACACACACACACACACACACACACACCTCTTGGCCTAGATTCTGGAGTCAGAACCCCTCGCAGCTCCACGGATCATGCGCCTAGATTCTAGGGAGGTCGCCTCCTCTCTCCCTCCCTTCTTCTCTGTGCGCGCGCTCTCTCTCCCCTCTCTCTCTCTCGCCCTTGTGTGTGTATTGAAAGAAGCTCAGGGAAGATTTAGTTTTCCTTTGGGAGATGCAATTACGGCAGAAATACAGTAGAAGAGGCGCCCTCTCCAGCCTTCACGCCATCTCCATGCCTCATTATTTATTACAAATGCAGCCAGCGTTGGACTCCACGAGACCAGTCCCGAGTGCTCATAAATTAGAGTTTGCGCCACGTTTCCACACACACACACACCGCCCCCCGCCCCAAGCCATCCAGAGTAATAGCCACCCTTAGCCAAAACGCCTACATTTGGCAACGGGGAGGGTTAGGGTGTTGCTGTTGGGTTTTGTTCGTTTTAAAATCCTTTGGAGCGGAGGGAAAGAACAAAAGAGCCCTTATGTAGGCACTTACCTGTGGATGCCGGCCTAGATCAGGAGGCGCCACTCTGCTCTAAAAGGCAACTCTGCGGCACAGCTGGGACGGGATGCTATTGTTGTTTGTTCTGCAAAAAGGAATCGGTTCTAATCTTGGAACGAGGAGATGGTCAGCTTGCAAGTAGATTAGGTCAGGCGCGCAAGCGGTGCGTGCTCATTATGGCAAAGGAAAGGGGCATATTACATAACACACACAGGCAGAGCTGAGGAAAGGAATAGGGCTGCCTAAAAGCAGTCAGTGGGAAGAGCTTGTGGGTCAGAACTGCACGCTCTGGGGAGCATCAGATTACACCGAAATGTTCCAGCAAGTTAAGAGACCAGTGGTGGCAGAAAGGCACTCTGCACATGCTCCAAAGACACCCATCATTTTTGGTGTCATAGAATTGTAGAGTTGGAAAGGGACCCCAAGGCTCTTCTAGATTCTTGCAGTGCAGGAATCTTAACTAAAACACCCAAGACAGATGGCCATCCAAATCTGCTTAAAAACCTCCAAGGAAGGAGAGTCCACAACCGCCTATGGGCGTCCATTCCACTGTTCAACAGCTCTTGCTGTCAGAAAGCTTTTTCTGGTGTTTAGTCGTGTTCACAGCAAACCACCCTGTCATTAAGAGAAAATTTGAGGACTAAGCCATGGTGACTTCTAGCTCAAGTGAAGCCCGCATTCATGCCATCAATGACTGGTGGCAATTAAGTAGGTTCAGCCATTCACACATTCAAGTATTGGGGCCATGGGGGAGGCGCACTCTGCTTCTATATGCACCAGCAGCCCCCAAAACAGGTCACACTGTTCACCCCAACCTCTTAAGAATAGTTGATGTTATTAAACATATCTGAAAGCAGAAACAACAGCAAGCAAGGATGCCAGCTGTGAGCCATCATCAAGTTCACCAAAGAAGGCCAAAATGAAGGCCCCTACAGTGGTCTCTCTTCGGTTCATATAATCATAGAATTGTAGAGTTGTAATGGACCCCAAGGGACGCGGGTGGCGCTGTGGGTTAAACCACAGAGCCTAGGACTTGCCGATCAGAAGGTCGGTGGTTCAAATCCCCGTGACGGGGTGAGCTCCCATTGCTCAGTCCCAGCTCCTGCCAACCTAGCAGTTCGAAAGCACGTCAAAGTGCAAGTAGATAAATAGGTACCACTCGGGCAGGAAGGTAAACAGCATTTCCGTGCACTGCTCTGGTTCGCCAGAAGCGCCTTAGTCATGCTGGCCACATGACCTGGAAGCTGTACGCCGGCTCCCTCGGCCAATAAAGCGAGATGAGTGCGGCAACCCCAGAGTCAGTCACGACTGGACCTAATGGTCAGAGGTCCCTTTACCTTTTAATGGACCCCAAAGGTCATCTGGTTCAACCCCTTCCAATGCAGAAATCTCTGCTAAAGCATCCATGACAACCCCAAACAGAAGTAGGCACTGGACTACAATTCCCAGTTTCTGCAGCCTGCTTAATCTGCCAGCAACCTGATCCTAAGGACAACTAGCTTGGAACTTGGAATGAACTTCTACTGAGTTAGCATTGGCACTCATTCAAAGGCACTATGGTTCCTTGCCCAATATATATATTCAGACAAAGGTGAAGGTTGGGATGGGAAACAGAATTGCTGCCAGCACCTTTGTCCAACCATTAAAATAGTCCGCCAAATGTTCGTAAATATGACAGTGTTTGCCATGTAGATATTGCCATAAAAAAGGTGGCAGCATTTACACATCAGGATCCTTCCAAAGCATTGCTTATGCCCTTGACTTAAGTGTTCTTGGAATGTGCCTACTGACCACCCTCCAATGGATGGAGCCATGCAACTGATAGCCGCTGGGCAACTTTGTAGGAGCTTTGTCGAAGATTTGTGGCTCTCCAGTACATGTTATGTTACATCATGTTTTTGTGCAGAAATTATCCCTGTACCTTAATCAACCAAGCAGAATTTTGCTGCACTTGGACTTTACATGTGAAATCCCCTTGCTGTAAATGCATCATTATAATTCTGTTTGTGCAACAAGCTTTAGAGACCATTGTATATACCATTTTTGCGGGGGGTGGGGGGACGGACCACTTGTTATTGTTCTGTGCTTGCTTCCTTTGCCCCATTTTGCTAATGTAATTTGGACACTGACAGCGTGGGGGGAAATTTTTTTGTTTGAAATTCCCCTTTTAGGTCTTTTATGGTATATTTAGTTTTTATTTTACCAGCTTCTTTCCCACCACAATAAACTTCCCCCGGTTCTTTAGTTTAGTTCAATCCAGACCAAATGACGTAATGCAGAAATATGTGGTTTCTGATTCTTGTGTTTAGAATACTGAGGTTTAAGCACATGTCTACTCCTAGGGCTAATTAAACCCCAATTAAATTCCTGTCACACACACACACACACACACACACACACACACACACAGGCTCTCAGGTTATCACTCAAACTGGTTTCCCAATGTGTGGAAGGGTATCAAGCTTTAATGCTAAGAAGACTCAGATTTAGCACCTGTTTTCAGTATCAGGACTTAGCCCCAGAATATGTGAAGTAATAAATTACCTATTTATTTATTTGGATTTATCATTTACATTGATACCCACCCTTTCTTCCAAGGAGATTAGGACAGCTAACATGGTTCCCTATCCCCCATTATATCCTCACAAGAACCCCATGAGGTTGGTTAGGTTGAGCATTAGTGATTTTTTTTTTTTACTTATTTATTAATTAAATTTGTATACCACCTTACATCCATAGATCTCAGTGCAGTTTACAGCAATGACAGCCCAAGGTTACCCAGTGAGCTTCATAATAACAGACTTCCAAGAGGGGTGGTGGACTCCGTCCTTGGAGGTTTTTAAGCAGAGATTGGATTGCCATCTGTCATGGATGCTTTAGCTGAGGTTCTGGCATTGCAGAGGGTTGGACTAGATGACCCTTGGGTCCCTTAAAACTCTAAGACTCTACGATAATAATAAAATTATTATTAATGTGGAATGCCCTCCCAGAAGATGTCAAGGAGATAAATAATAATACAACTTGTAGAAGACATCTGAAGGCAGTTCTGTATAGGGAAGTTTTCAATGTTTGATGTTTTATTATGTTTTTATATCTGCTGGAAGCTGTCGGGGGTGGCTGGGACAACCCAGTCAGATGGGAGGGGTAGAAATAATAACATCATCATCATCATCATCATCATCATCATTATTATTATTATTACTTGAGTCCTCCAATCCTGAACCACAATTTCAATGCAATTGTAAATTAAGGCAGTTTGTGATATGCTCGCGAGAACTACTTTTTTAAACTCAGAAACTCAGCCCTGGAACATTAGAAATTATAAAGAAGACTGTCCCTTTGAGCCTACGCCGAGTGAATTCTCATCGCAATTGGGGAATTACACCTCTCCACCCCCCACATCAGGGACGCCAGTGGCGCTGTGGGTTAAACCACAGAGCCTAGGACTTGCCGATCAGAAGGTTGGCGGTTTGAATCCCCGCGATGGGGTGAGCTTCCGTTGCTCGGTCCCTGCTCCTGCCCAGCTAGCAGTTCGAAAGCACGTCAAAGTGCAAGTAGATAAATAGGTACCGCTCTGGCGGGAAGGTAAACGGCTCTCTGCGCGCTGCTCTGGTTCGCCAGAAGCGGCTTAGTCATGCTGGCCACATGACCCGGAAGCTGTACGCTGGCTCCCTCAGCCAATAAAGCGAGATGAGCGCCACAACCCCAGAGTCGGCCACGACTGGACCTAATGGTCAGGCGTCCCTTTACCTTTACCCCCCACATCCTGCCCCACCAGACACACTTTAAGGGAGGGAGACAGTGATTACAAAGCCCCTTTTATTTCCTCAACTAAACATCGGGAGAGAGAACCTCAAGACATCTATCATGTCTACATATCCACAGCACTGCGATTGGAAGGTGGGGGGAGATTCCAGGTGAGGAGACCCTCATAGTGCAGCAGTCCTCTGCATGAAGAAGGTCCTTAGTATAAACCCTCCCATCCTCAGTTAAAAGAATCTGTTTGGATACAGGCTGCTGCACTCAATAGACTCTTCTTATGTTCTTAGCAGCAGAGGCTAAGAAAGGACTCTGTTGAGACACTGAAATGCTACCACCAAGTCAGAGTAGATATTCCTGAGCTGGCCTATGTGTTGAAAATGGGCTGAAACCCGGTGAAACAGATTTTAACTGATAGATTAATTGATGGGCCCATTAACAGATGAGTCTATCAATAACGAATCTGCATGAGAATGCAATCTTTTCTGAAGCAAGGAGCCCATTCCACTGTAGTTTGACGATGCACACATGAACTCTACAAGACATTGTTTTGGCAGAGCCATTCCTCCTAGGTGGGTGGGTGGGAATGTCTCTCTTACGATGAGTTCTACCATCTGCTCTTTGGGTAAAAACTTGTACCACAAACATTACTTTGTATTTTTTAAAACTCTGCTGTCCAATTATGGGGGTGACATTGCTCTAACTTACTCATTGAGTAAACACCCAGCGCTGACAGGGAACTCGCTTTCTCCTCCTGTTCTGCAGTCAAGAAAGGCACTAATCCCAAGGTCGGCAAAGTAACCTAGGGAGGAAGAGGAGCAGCTCAATGTAGACAGAGCATGCTCAGTAGCCATGGAATGTTGGCTGTTGCAGGTGGGAGGGAAACAGTGGGTGGAATGGAGTATCCTGGGAAAGGGAATGGCTGGCTGGCAGGAATCACACACTAACATAGGAAGCTACCATATACTGAGTTCAGTGGTACCTCGGGTTACATATGCTTCAGGTTACATACGCTTCAGGTTACAGACTCCGCTAACCCAGAAATAGTACCTTGGGTTAAGAACTTTGCTTCAGGATGAGAACAGAAATCGTGCTCCGGCGGCGCAGCAGCAGCAGGCCCCATTAGCTAAAGTGATGCTTCAGGTTAAGAACAGTTTCAGGTTAAGAATGGACCTCCGGAACGAATTAAGTACTTAACCCGAGGTACCACTGTACATCCAGCTCAGAGTTCCCTAAGCGTCACAGGGGTCTTTCCTAGCCCCACCTGAGGAGAGGATGCTCTCCTATTAGAGATTAGGCCTGGAAGGAGGGAGGGCCTTGTGACAGCCGACCATTCCTGACCGACTTCTGTCCTTTGTCTTTTTTCCCCTCACCCCCTTCTATGCTTAGGTACTGGGATGATTTCCATGCCTGCACCCTCACAGCCCTCACAGATTGCCAGGAAGGGGTGACAGACGTCTGGGAAAAACTGAAAGAGAAATCCAAAAAGCTTGACTACGAAGGCAACTTGTTTGTCCTGTGCAGCAAAACACAGCGGGCGGCTTCGTCGGTGGTGGCTTCGGCCTCCCCTTTGCTGCTGGTGGCTCTCTCGGTGGCCCTGGCGACGTACTTCTCATTTTAGAAGGCCGCCCCCCCCGCCCAGCACTTCGTGTAGAGCACGCCTGTCCACATGACGACGATGACGTTTCCTCCTCGCCCCACCTCCTCTTCCTCCTGCCCACCCACCTTCTTCTTCTCTCTTTCTCCAGGAACTGGATTTACAGAGGAAAAGTCTCCATCTTTTTTGCTTTGGGGGAACGAGGGGAGGGGAAGATCTGTTGCGAATTCTCCATGACGCCCGCCATGACACCCACCTGAGAAAGGTTTGGGGAGGAAAGAGAGAGATAAACGGCCGCCACCAAGAACTACCACCGCCACCACCGCTCTGACGACGACAAGAAGCACGTTTCTCTCTCTCTCTCTCTTGGCCTCCCTGGTTTCTTTTGCATTCTGATGATTTGCCAAATGGTACCAAATGGCAGGCCTCCAAGCCAGCCAACAGCCAAAATCGGACCTCAGCTTTATGCCTCTTCTTCTTCTTCTTCTTCTTCTTTAGACCAAGGTCAGCTGGAGCCCTTCTTTCTTGTGTGCAAAAAGAAATCTCAGGAACGGCCTTCGAGCCACCACCGAATACTCCTAATAAAATAAAATTTAAAAAGCGTTAATAGGTAATAAGAGTAATAATAAAACTAGAATGCTAGTGAGGACACTGCTTGCAGCGACAAACGGAGGGGCTCTTCTGGGAAACATCTACGGGGAAGGATGAGTTGAGCGAGGAAATGTAAAAGGAAAAGAAGAAGGGTTGGGGAAAAACAAAGGAAAGGGAAGAGGGGGGAGGGGGAGAAGGGAACCGGAAATGGATACACCTTCGCTTGGCCACGTGCGGGAAGAAGCACTCAATGGTGAATTAACCCACAGACGATCATCTTTCCTTGGGAACTCGTGTTTTCTTTTGTTTTCCAAGAATTTTTCCGGCCATTCCACTTTAAAGACGTAAGACTCCCCGCCCCCCTGCCCTTCCTGATGGTGTGGCTTAGGGGGGCAGAGAGAAAGCGAAAGGACAACCGAACGAGGGAAAGCCAAGAGGGACAAATATTAAAAAGGCGATTTCGCTGAGATGACCTAATGAATGCTGCTGAGTTTGCTGAGAGTTGAGCTTTACTTAAGAGTCAAGGCATTTTTTTCAATTGTCACTGCCTTTTTTCTTTTCTTTTCTTCTTTTCTTTTTCAAAGTTTCCCCCTCTTCTTTTTTAGGTGTTCCACCATTGACGTACGATATCTTAATTATCCAACAGTGTAGATCACAGGGGGCGGGGGGAAGGGGAGGGGGAACGTATACGTTAAGGTAAAAAAAAAAAATTAAATTAAAATTAACACACAGCGTAATGGTTTTTTTGGGGGGAAGTATTAAAAGAGCCTTGATTTTAAAAGAAAAAAAATGTAATTTAAGAAAGTTTATTATAAAGTCAATTCAGCAAAAAAAAAAGTTATAAAAGATTTGCTACAAAGTATAGAAAAAGGTATAAAATAAAATTATTGTTTGAAATGAGGATGCAGTTTTATTTTTTAAGAAAAGGTGAATGTATATTATTATATATAATTTTATTATTATTATAATAATAGTATATATAATATAGAATGATTATATTATATATAGTTATTGAAATGTGCTTTCTTCAAGTACATGGAGTAATGGTTTACTAGAGCTTAGCGAGACGCGGGGCAGGTTTTAAGAGGTGCAAGTGGAGAAACGCGAGAATGCCAGATTCTCACATGCGACAAGAATTTTTGGTGTTAAGGGAGTAAGAGTCACCCTGAAATCGATGAGATCAGAATGAAGGCTTAACTCTTGGGTTCTTACCTAGCTGTGTCGAGAGTGAAGCTGATGGTACTGTTTGTGTGTGGAAATAAATGCAGAACTTTGTTTATGTTTATGTTTAATATTTATCACTATAAGGTAGTTTGCGCTCCCTTTCTCGGAGTTCCGGGGGGAAGGTTTATGGCTACATCTCCAAAGGGCCCGTGGTTTATAAAGATGCTAAAAGAATGATGAAAAGCCACCTTCAAAAATCTGCCTTTTTTAATGGGATTTCCACAGCGAATCCTAAGCAGGCTTCTTTGGAAACGCATCTCATTGAAAACAAAGGCTCCCGTTTCCCGGGGGGGGGGGTGTTAACCATTGGAGTGCCATGCTATCAGAACCATAAGAGACAGTGATCCCCAAACGGATGCTCTTGGGGGGTGGGTCACCTGGTTTCCCTTCTCTAGACCTTTGAGACTCCATCGCTTTGAGCCCCCAATCCTTAACATGCTGATGAGATGGGGGGGGCGTGACGTGAGGTGAGGTCGCCGCCCTAGACTCAGTTACCTGGGAGTAAGTCTCACTGAACTCATGAGGGCTTACTTCTGTGTCGGATGGCCCTGTAAGTCCCATTGATTTCAGCGGGACTTTCTTTGGTGTGGACATGTTTACCAGCATTGCACTGCCCTTACGAGGGGTTTTTTTTTTTGGGGGGGTAGAGCGTATAGACATATGCTAATTGAAATTAATAACTATATTGTCTACCCACCCGGGGTGCGACTTAACAGTCTTCAATAGCACTTATCATCTTTATTATACACAATAACTCGAGGTGTTATTTTATATACTGTGTGTGTGTTACAATGTAATATAATATACAATTATAATATATAAGAAAAATCTAATATACAATAGTATATTTTTTCCATTTTATGGCCTTAAAAGGGGGACCACAATAAACCTTCTCAAAATACAAGGCTGCGTGGATGTGTGTGCTTAATATACCCACGAGCAGAACTCACTGTGGTCAGTTTTGCTTCTTCTAATCCTGGAAACGATGCCCCTGGATCTGTCGACAAGACTAACAAATGGGGGTGGGGTGCATATATATATATATTGGTTTATTGTGGTACCCTTTTAAAGGCCATAAAATGGAAAATATATTATTGTATATTATGTTTTTCTTATATATTATAATGGCATGGTATCATATCACATTGTATTATTATAATAATATAATATAATATAATATAATATAATATAATATAATATAATATAATATAAAATATAATATAATATAATATAATATAATATAATATAATATAATATAATATAATATAATATAATATAATATAATATAAACTAGAGCTGTTAAGTGCTATTGAAGACTGTTAAGTGGCGCTCCGGGTGGATGGACAATCCAGTTTCAGTTAGCATATGTCTATCTATCTGCTTGAGGTTTGTCATTAGCTCTCCTCAATACCTTCTACTTACATTGTAAGGGGAAAGTAAAGGCGTCTTTTCCCGAGACCTTTACCAAAGGAGTAACTTCTCCCACAAAGGCTCAAAGAGCACGCGAGTTTCTAATGGCGGACTCCTGCACATGTCTACTCAGAAGTGAGTCCCATTAATTTCCATGGGACTTGATCCCAGACAGTTATTTTATTTATTTATTATGAAATTTGTATACCGCCCTTCACCCGTAGATCTCAGGGCGGTTCACAACATAACGTTACAATATTAAAAACCCAACATACAAAACAAAAAATAAGAACAAAACAAAACCAATAACCCCCCCCCAAAAAAATAGGCTGCTAAGCGGTTTGCAAAATACAAAAAACAAGATGGACTCAAACTTTATACATAAATATCCATATTAAGGATACATAGTAACGCAATCCGTTTAAAACAGGAGACTTAAATTCAGAGATTAAGGGGATGCCCGCGCGTATTTCGTTGTTTCATTTAGCCCCGCTGGTGTCCTGAGTTCGAATTCTTTGGTGAAGGAATGTGGCTCAGCGGTTCGATCCCCAGATCTCCAGGTGGGAACCCTGGAAAGCCGCGGCCAGTCAGAGCCGACAAAACTAACGTGGGTGTGGACCAATGACCTGCCTCGGTTTAGCTGCTTTCCATGTCTTCCCCTTTCCCCAACGTTTTGACCCAACCTCTCCCTCCATTTATTATCTGCTTTATGGTGGAGGGCAGCGGGCCCCATTTTTACAAAACGAAAACCCTGGAGCTGGGAAGCTGATCTTGAGAATTATTCCGGAATTAATTCTGCTCCACCTGCAATTGGGGTTCGGGAAGGCCTTATTGATCCGGTAGCAAAAAGGAAAAAGTCTCGCCTATTTATTGCATCCCGGAGCCTCTAAGCAGAATCAAACGTAAATATGGTGGTTTCGTTTGTTATTTTGGAGAGAGGCGAATGTCTGGGCACGGAAAGGAGGCGTGCTTATTATGTGTGTTGTCTTTGTAAAGATCCCTGCTCTTTCCCTCGCCTGCTTTTAATCTGCTGTGCGCGACGATGTCTTGCGGTGGAGGGGATTGGAGAGGCGCGCGCGCGCACGCGCGCCGTGAAAGCAAGCAAGGTCGTCTTGGCGCAACGAGCCCTTTCCTTGCTGAACGTGGCGCATTGCAAGCGCCGCGGCGCGAAGTGTAAGCAACGGCTAAGCGTAACAGCCCATAAATCAAGCACGGGGGGGGCGGGCAGGAGGGAGAGTCAATCTGCATTTCCCCGATGGGTTGAATCCCAGCAACAAATGTGCCCCAGAAGTGGAGCCAGGCTGCAGGCAGCGCCAGACTTGCAAACGTTGCGCATTCTTCTCCACCGCCTTCTCCTTTTTGGTAATGATCAAATAACAGACCGTCTGGCCCAGCTTCGCAGCCAAGAACAAGAGTCTGGCCTCTCCAGAATTTCTTCTTCTTTTCTTCCTGCACCCACGGCCCGCCCACCTTGCGGGTGGCAACGTGGCCTTGTCTTTTCCCCCCCACTAGATGTTGCTTGAGATCCTACGATGCACAGCGCAATCCTAAGCATGCCCGCTGTGGTGGGTTTGGTTGGTTGCTAACAACCAGATTTCGCCTTTGCAAATGTTGGCAATCCCATCCTATGAATGGATTCCTTAGAGTCGGGGCGGCACTAGGAAGGTTTTGCAAAACCAAGATGCATTGTTAAACGTGCCAAAGAGGACGGGAAACTGCTGTAACGTGACCGTAGCACCTTTCTATGCACAATAATTGTATCTTAGTAATAATGATGCCGAGAATGGCTGGATGGGGAGCGCAAGTCAGTAGACGCGACTCTACCAAAGCTGATGCCATAATAAATTGGTTCGTCTTTCAGAGGCCACGAGACTCGTTGTCCTTTTCATATGGGTGCAGTTATTCTTTAATAATGACAATAACTGTTGCTGTTAAGATTTTAATTTTAACTCTAGCTGGTAAAACACACACAGAGGGAGAGGGAACAGGGGAAACTGATCTTCCCAATCTCCAAGCAAATTCTCCTTGTAAAAATAAACTTCGCTAGTGAAAGTAAAGGGACATTTTTGGGGGGCTTTATGATGCTTTGATGTGTGTTGGAAGCTGAGTAGAATTATTATTATTATTAATATCATTATCATCATTATCATCATCATCATCATCAAACTAGTCCTGTGCCTAATAATAATAATAATAATAATAATAAATTTCTCAAGACTAGCCAAGATTCAACAGGGTTGGGACCAGGCAGAGTTTCCTCCTTGGTACCCAGCCTCAGCAGAAAAAGAAATGCGGGGTGGGTTAGGGTTAATTTGGATGGGTAGAGAGATGGATGGATTAAAAGATGCTGTGGGAATAATGATGGATGGGCAGAACTTGATGATGGAGTGTAGAACGAGAAAAGAGGGACAGAATTAGATCAGACTGATGACAGAAACAGATAGGCGCCTCTTCAGAGCGGAGGTACATTTCAACGTGACCCTGCCCATGTCTACTCAGAAGTAAGTCCCGCTCAGGTCAAGGGGACTAACCCCCATATTTGTTGCTCAAGGGACTGCAACCACATTCGCCTTAAAGGGGGCGGGGAGGAAACCTGCCCGTTTGGAGACCGGGTGGAGATTTCATTTTCAAGGAAGAAAAAGGAAATAGGCGCAAGCTCTTCCAGACTCTCACTCTCTCTCCCCCCGGGATCTTTCCTGCCATGGAAATACAAAGAATCAGCAGTAGGGAAGGCCTTCAATAAAGGGTCGATCTGCATCTCCTCGGTGTATTTCCGAGCGCGCATGAATTATGAATAACCCACCTTCTCTCGCTCTATAATTAGAAACCACCCGATTGCCAGCGAAGATTCGTGTCTACGGATGTGCGATATATATAGAGATATAGATATACAGATATATGTACGTGCGTGTGTGTCAAAAATATATATAATATTTGTTATATATAAGTGTGTGTGTGTGTGTGTGTGTGTGTGTGTGATATGTGATATGACAAAGCAGCTGGCTAA